GCACATAACAACACAACAACATACTTGGCCCAGGAGGCAGTCATCAGAACGAGCAAGGGAACACTGCAGGGTTCAAAATCGGGAAGGGTATATGCCAGGGATGTGTCCTATATCTCCATACCTTTTCAATCTATATGCAGAACAGATTATCCAGGAGGCTGGACTCTATGAGGAGAAATGTGGCATCAGGATTGGAGGTAGACTAATCAACAATCTGCTTTATGCAGATGACAAAACCCTGCCTGCTGAAACTGAGGAGGGCTTGAAACACTGCAGAGGATCAAGGACTACACCTTTCAATATGGATTGAAGCTCAACATCAAGAAAACAAAGATTCTCAGCACTTGGCAAACTGGTAACATCACGATACAGAGAGAGAAGATGCTGAGATTGTTAATGGCTTTAGCTTGCTTCATTTCACAATCAACACTCTTAATACCAGCAGCCAGGAAATCAAAAGACAAATTGCACTGGAAAAACCTGCTGTTGGAGACCTCTCACAAATACTGAAGAGCAACAATATCAGGCTAGAGATTAAAGTGTGCCTGATCCATACCATGGTCTTTGCAATTACTTGCTAAGCATTAGAGAGTTGGATAATGACTAAGGATGGATAGCAGAAGGATTGATACCTTTCAGATGGGGGGCTGGAGAAGAGTATTGAACATGTACTACTAAGAGAACAAACAGGTCTGTCCTGGAGAGGGTGACTCCAGGCTGCTCCTTGGAGGCAAGGATTTTGAAGCTTTGTCTCTCATACTTAGGGCATGCATCCAGGAGGGTAGTCCTTCCTTGGAGAAGGACATCATGCTTGGATGTGTGGAAGGACAGTGCAAAAGAGGAAGACGCTGGATGAGATGGATGGACTCAGTGACCGGCAAAATGGGAGTAGGTGTGTTGGAGACAATAAAGATAGAGCAGGGGTCAGAGATGTTGTACAGAGGGTTGCTGTGAGTTGCAAGTGACTCCATGGCACACAACAACAACAACAACATCTGAAAAATCTTCCTTTCTTCCTTCACATTTGGAGATTTATACATAGCCCCTACAAGACTAAAGGTGTGAAGTGGGGATAGGGCCACAAACTCTTCATTAAACTTGTTAATAAGCCCACTTTTTGTCTCCTGACATTCCAGGGCATCAGGTGATAAACAATCTACTTTGACTTCCACCATTACCACCAACATGATGTGGCCACTCTCCTTTGTCCTAATTACTATTCCTCCATCTCCCTTCCTTTGCCTTAGGCTAGTTGAAACAAAGCCCATCACCATCAAATCCATTCCAACTCATGTTGTTGTTGTTATGTACTATGGAGTGGAAGCTGACTCAGAGCTTACTCTCCAGTGGGTTGTTGTTGTTGTTTTTTATTGCCTCTGAGTTGAGCACAACTCACAGCGACCCTATGAACAAAAGGCCTGAAGCCCCTCTACAACTATCGACATTTACTAAAGTTCATAGAGTTTCCGGAGGCATGTTATTTAGGAAGTAGATGCCATTCCTGCTTCCAGTGGGTTTTTAGAGGCAGTAAATTGCACAGGAGGGGACTGTTCATCTTTCCTCCTATGGAGCAGCTGGTGGATTTGAACTGCATGCCTTTGGATGGGCAGCACAACTCCTTAACACCATGCCACAGATTTCCAAGGCTATAATCTTTATGGAAGCAGACTGTCATATTTTTCTCCCAAAAACAGCTGCCGGGCTCAAACCAGCAACCTTTCAGGCGGCAGCCAAGCACTTAACCACTCTGTCACTAAGTTGTGGGAGTTCTAAAAATATCTTAATATCTATGGTTCATGAGAGATTTGAGCATGTCTATTTATTTGTAAAATTCTTTCTGATGGGTAGATTTAAGATAAGGAGAACCTGGACATCTTTTAATTAGTTTTGTAATGTGTATAAAGCAATGACGTTTTTCTAATTTGGAGGCACGCTAGGGCGTGGGAACCTCAGCAGGGTTCCAGGATGCTTCTCCAGCCTCCCATTTCTGGTACATTGCACAATACATTGTTCCCACAGACTCGCCATCAGGTCAGGCTTGGGTAATCCTCTGAATCCACTGAGGCTCATTTAAATGGAAATGGGAATATTTTCAGAGTATAATAATTTTTCTTTGAAAACTCACTTATATTTGCATAGGTTTTAGTCAAACTTCTTCTGTTTTTCTTTTTTAATCCCCAAGATCCTCCTTGTCTCTCAAGCAAAGAGAAATGCTCCCTCAAAACACGGGTGGAAACTGGTATAGGAAGGTCAAGCAATCAAGTCTGTGGCAGTTTTACCAGAATCCAGGTCACCTGACTCCCTGTGAGCTCTTTCATACCACACCACCTTCTGGACACAGACACTAGGCCACCAACATATGCTGACCACCCCAAGGGACTGGGTGAAGAGGCGAAGAGCACTGGATAGTGTCAGGCTCTAGAGCCAAGCGTATCAAGCTGGCACCACTCAGCTCTTTGACCTCCTTGGAAGAACAGGAATCTTACAGTTTGAGGGGTCAGTACGGAGTCGCAGCCCCTTTTTATCACTCCTCCCTGATGATCCTCAGAGGGCAGGAAAGAGGGGACAGGAAAGTCTGTCTGCAATCAGATCTGAGTGAGCTGACCTCACTGTCTCCCAGACAGAAGGCGTATCACACCTACACTGAGGAGACAGGAGCCCTTTGAGGTTTCTTCATACTGATAAGAACACACCTGTCACTTGGCTTCCTCTACTGGGGAAACACTTTAACAGTGTTGACAGCATCAAAAGGTTCTCTGAGACTAGCTCATGCCTGAGGGTGTGCTTTATCTTAAGCAATATATTTTTTTTTAAATAAAAATTTTAAAAGACACCAACCTAAGCTGAATTCTAAAATGGGCTCATCTGGATCCTGCACGTTTCCTGGAAAGAAAAGAAATAACAGAAACATTAGCTTTAAAATAAGTTTTCCCTGATTCTAAAATGAATATAAAAAACACGTAACACTCTGCCCTATGTAAAAAAAAATCAAAGAAAAAAAAACACTAACAAAACAACAACAGAAAGAACCCAGAAACAAAGAAAAAAGAAATTGTTAAATAGTATCTTCATTTTCTAAACACTGCTTTTGTGATTCCCAAGTGTCTCAATCCCCTGCCATGAGGCCTGCTGTGTGTCTAGTCGGAACTGACTCATAGCTAACCTTCCAGCAGGTTTTCAGAGACAGTAAGTCATAGGGAAGGAGACTGCTCATCCTTCTCCCACGGAGCAGCTGGTGGTTCAAAGGGCATGCTGGCATGCCTTTGGGATTGCAACAAAGCTTCTTACCACTAGGCCAGGAGAGCTCCAGAGGCCTATGCATTCCTTATTAGGGAAAGTTTTTAACATGGCCTGGCCACTTCTCAGACACACACTGTGGACAGGGCTACATCATCTACTGCAGAAAGCACTAGAGGCATCCATCATAATAAGAAAACTGACAGTGGTCAGATTCTAGTATAAGCAATTCTCAGGAAGAACGCTGACTTCTCTGTTCATCCTCCCCCATTCAACCAGAAGGACATCATACCAGGGCACCTTCCAGCCTGGGATGGTCATGGGGGCTCTTCCAGGAGCAGGCTTGGCCCACTCCCTGCTGCAATGGTGTGGGGCCTGGGCACTGAGAGCTCATACCTGCCAGAGACAAGCCCAGCATGTCGCCTGCCACATCAATGGTGGACGCCCGCTGCATCGAACGGGCCCTGGCACCATGGCGAGGGCTCTGTTCTCTTGCTGTCATGATGTCATTGGTAGCGATGTGCTTCTTGTTCCTGGACCAGACCACGCCTGAGTCCTGGGGAAGTACAGTCGTCAAGCCCTACTTCCCTATGGTGGCAGCAGCCCTGAGAAATAGAAGCAAACACTGGTAAGAAACCTTGGGAATACAGAGAGGCTGTCTCCTCAAGTCAAGGTCTTAGGGCAGGTGTGCACAGTATTAGGGTCTCAGTCCCTCTCTCCCCTCTTTTTCACCACTCCACTCTACATCCAGGGAAGCCCACTAAGGAATCAGTCCCTTTTCAAGGAAAATAGGCACATCTGAAACAATGTTTAAATAGAACCATAAAATAAAGCTTTTGTGATTTTTGTTTGTGTTAATTCTGTGGCTGGAAGTTTCATAGAACCTTTACAGTTGTTTTCTGGGTTTTTAAAAATCCATTTACAGCGACCTCTATCAGAAAGAGGCAAGGGCTGCAAGAAGAGATTAACTAACCACTGGCTAGACTAGCAGGACGTAAACATGTACTTCCAATGTGCTCTTTCTGCCAGAAGCTAGAAAGCCTTCATGAGTGTCTCAGTCTCTGGCCCTCTTTCTGTGAAGTGTCTACAATGAAGTGAGCTTTGCGGCTGTGGGTAAGAGGGCTCTGGGCAATGTGCCACCGCAATCTGAGCCTGAAGGACATTCTGCTCTATCACAGAAAACACTGTAAGTTTGGAAGCAAAGAAGGAGTTTTATCTTTTTCTAACTATGCTCTACAACAACTGCTCTCCCTAGAAGGAGTCAAACGTCAGAAGTTATGGTGACCTGGTTGAGCAATAGTTTTAATAAATCCTCATAAACTTTGGTTTAAAACAACATTCTCAAAGGTCTCATTTGTCCAGAGACACCCTGTATTCCAAAAACTGTCAAGCCCTCTGCAGATGAAGTCCTTTTGCCCAAGAGTCAGCATTTGTGTTACTCACTGGGCATGCTTGTTGTCGGAACAGCAGAGACACACAGCATCTCTTCACAGACGCACATCTAAATCCATTATCTGAAAACAGACAAACAGACTAGTCAAACATGAAGTTCCTAAAAATGTGCATTTTATCAAAATGTGCATCTTCGATGCAGGGAAGCCAAGAATCACTCCGCTCACTGGAGCTCCACACTTCAACATTTTGGTGCAAGTGCAAAGATTTCACTCAAGGCTCCAAAGACTAATGAATGGAGAGTGCACACTCCTGTTCCCTACTACCCCTCCAGGACCAACCTCCAGAGAAAGTTAGGGGAGGCCTTAAAAAGCCAAGGAAGCAGTGGGGTTTGATTTAGTTAGGGAAAAGGAAGAGTTTAAGAATTCAAGTCTCAGATTTTCCAGCCATAGGAAAAGCTGTGGTTCAACAAAGGCTTTGCTTTTTGGTTTCTGAGCTGGGACCAGCAGTATCCAACTCTCTTGGCCATAGTGAAAATTAAGTGTGCAAGAATGAAGAGGTTTGAAAATTCCACAGGCTGCACTTTTGAATTGTTTCCTGACTCTGAGGTGTCTTCATACCTAACTTAACAGCCCTTAAGCCCGACTTAAAGCAGAACTGAGCCACTCAGTGAAGCTGTGCTGGGCTGCTGACATCAGAAGGCACATACATGAAAAATATACATAGTGTAAATGGTAAATAGATCAGGGGAAACACTTGCAGGATTAATATCAGTGCTTCTCAGTAACATTATACACAAAATTTTTTTAAAAAATTTTATTTTACTAGTTTTAATGAACATTTACAGAGATTTTGGATTTCCATTCATTCATTGTTGCACTTTTTTCTCTACCCACCCCCCTCCAGTTCGCTCTGAAATGCTAGACAGCAAAAGATAAATTTTAGAAAGAGCAACAGTAAACACTTTGAAAAGGTTATCAAATTCCTTCATAAAAATTATTAAAGCAATGCCAAATGCATCAATATTCACCTAATGTAAAGAATTATCTGTTCTTTTACTGTTAATACTCATTATTGAAAAGCCTGGGGGGACTGGCTCATGACTCTCTTTTATTATTAATAAAATTTTAAGTGGTATGAGGATTCAGAAAACAACTGGCATTATTTCTAAAAATCTGTAAGCAACTAATTTTTTTAATTAAAAAAAAACACCCAGTTTTGTTTTTTGTGGGTGGTTTTTTTTTTCCACTTCAAATCCAAACATGGAAAAGAGATGCTTATTCCATAAGAACGAGATCTGGAAACAATTTAAACACTCAGATACAGGTAGGTACATCCTGGCACAACCAGAAGACACACATTTACATGTCTATTAAATGATGGTAATGAAAGACAATAAACACACAAAAGGCTGTCCAATCTCATTAGTCATCGGGGAAATGCAAGTTAAAACCATGTGATACCACTGCACACCCACTTGCACAGCTCAAATGGACAAGACAGATGATATCAAATGCCTGCAAGGATGTGGCATAGCTGGAACTCTGGCTCATTTCTGGTGATGTTGTAAAATGAGAGAATCACTTTGAAAAACTATCATGGTATCTTCTCAAATGGAATATATACCTACCCATAACTTAGAATAAGAGAAATATATACTTATGTTTACCAAGACATGTAAAGAGCATTCAGTGCTTTGATTACAGTTATTTTAAAAGATGAGACACACAGAGAGCGAGACAAAGAAGCTGCTTTCTTTCTTTGTTTAATGGTATCCTGGCTTGTCCTGGCCACTGGCTTTAGCTCAAGGACGGAGCTATTCTCTCTTGAAGGATATCACCAGTATTGTCAGCCAGCCTTGAACCCAGTTCAGTTTGTTAACGAACTGGAACAGTAGACACACACCAGCTAGCAGAGGCCACATCTGTATCTCTATATCTTACCAGGCCGAGGGAGGCACTCTAACCCTTTATTCTTTCTCTTTTCACTTGTCGCTCACACAGGGTCTTATTCACATCATTTACACACCTCCTTCCCTTGAAGAAGGCGATTTGTATCATAGGCATCGTGAGATTTCTGGAGTATAGAAATTCTTAAGAGGGAACATCTGTGGACTAATTTTATAGTTGATAGAGTTCACAGATCAGAGAAACTACTAGGTCAAAAGACTTTAGAAGTCACTTGATAGTTACTTGGGGGATTTAATTAGAATTTGCAATTTAAGCTATCAAGATCTAACACATGAAGCTAATTTGCACAACTGAACTCAATTTCCCATATTAGCCTCATTAATTTAAGGTAATTCACCAAGGATTCCTCTATTCCCAAGGCTCGTGTTCTTCCTCTCAGCCCCATTTGAAGACCAAAACTCATTAAGGAGAAAAATCAAAGAAGAGTGGGGGGGGGGGGAAGAAGAGTGGAGAGTGTGTGAGCTACGGAGGGGCTGGACCTTTTTCCCCTTGCGTGTAAGAAGAAAGAATAAGCCATGAAATCAACTGCCTTCTTTCCTCACTTTGGGAGAGACTGTGACCACTCCTCACTCACACACACACACACACACACACACACACACACACAGAGATCATCAAAGAACAGCAACTCCTGAGGTTCGATTCCATTCAGGTGAGGAAAGGGAGATGGTAGCAAGAGGGGAACACAGCAGATAGAGACAGGGTGCTGTAAGGCACATGGGCTCAGTGAGGTGTAGCAACGGATTTCAGAAGCTTCTCAGGGAAACAATCTTGGAAAAGGCTTGCTTGTCTCCCTAGGCAGAAGGATGCTCAGGCTAGAAAGGAGTTCTGGAGCCCAACTCCCACCCTCAAACTCAGGAACTTCATTAAGCCTTGCTCAACTGGAGTTGAGGGGAAGAATTAGTCAAAATAGCTCCATTTTTCCTGTTTTACATACTGGAGTTCTTCTGAAGATTATTTTAAAAATAAGTCGCTGAGATGAAAGAGAGATAATGTCTTCAAATTCAGATGGAGGTGAACCAAGAGTGAAAAGTACAAACACAACCAGGGCAGCTCTCAGTCCTCCTTAATCCTACAACCCCCACCCCAGAAGCACCGCTGTGAGCAGCAAAAAGAAACTTCACTGCGCTTCTAGTCCCCAAATACAGGCCCCACAACAGTGAAAGTAAAAAGAAAGGTTTAAATACGTCAGAGCTTGAGTCAGCAGTCACTGGTGAAGAAGTTACTTCAGGAGACAGAAAGAGGAAGTATTTTCTTTCAAAAGTCTCAAACCCAAGAGAACTAAAAATGACTGGTCAAATGAAGTGTCATACTCCTGAATATGAATATTCTAAACTTGCTTGGAATATTTCAAGCTGAAAGACCTGGAGAACAAATTCAAGTCTCAAGTTGTAATACTGAGTTAGCCTAGTAGAAAAGATCTGTGCTGCCAACCCAAAGGTACCTGGTTCCAACCCACCAGCTGCTCTACAAGAGAAAGATGAGCAATCAACTATCCTGAAATTTACTGCCTCTGAAAACCTTCTAGAAGGTCAGATATGAGTCAGTTCTGACTTGATGGCATATAGCAATAACAATGGGTAAAAATTTATAATCCAGTAAGCATCAAAAAAGATGGAAGGAATACACAGTGTCATTATGTCAAAAAGAAATGGTATATATGGGCCCATTTCAGGAAGTAGTATATAATAAAGAACCTATGGTAATAAAGAAGTTCAAACTGCACTGAAGGCAATGGAAAATTATAAAGTCTAGTAATTAATAAAATATCAACTGACATATTCCAACAAATAGATGTTGTCCTGGATGTACTCAATAGACTGTGCCAAGAAATCTGGAGGACCGCTACCTATATGGTCAACTGACTGTAAGAAATCCATATTTCTATTCCCCCCAAAAAGGTGATTCAAAAGAATAGGGAAATTATTGAACAATATCATTAAGGTCACATGCAAGCAAAATCTTGCTGAAGACTATCCAAAAACAGCCGGTACAACAACTGTCAGAAATTCAGGCTAGATTAAGAGAGACTGTGACATCTAGGATATCACTGCTGATGTCAGATGGATCTTGGTAGGAAGCAAAGAATATAAGGATGTCTGTGTTTTTTTGACTTTGCAAAAGTATTTGACTATATAGATCATAACAAATAATGGCTAACATTGAGAAGAACAGGAATCTCAGAACACTTGTTTTCATGTGAAACCGTACATAGAACAAGAGGCTATTGTACAAACAGAGCA